TAAGTGCATTTGCCAGATTACAGTATGCATCGGGGAAGTTCGGCTGTAGCTCAATAGCTCGCCTATATGTGTCAATCGCCAGATCAATGAGGCCTTGTTCATAGTAAACACACGCCAGATTTCCATGTACGACTGCATTGTTGGGCGATAGATTCAGCGCACGCAAATATGCTGCCACAGCCCTGAAGTAAGATCAAAAGCAAATAAATGTATTGAAATATTGAAATGCAAATATATTGGTTTATAAAATTGCCTAGGGATGTCAATAAATAACCCAAGGTCCTGATTATTCCAATTTCAAATGATCTTAGCTAACAATTAGTGAAGTTAAGATAATTGGATATTCGGAAATGAATTAATTAATATTAATTGTATAGACAATAGGCAATCTTATCACAATACAACGTAGATAATCCAAGAGTAAACCGTCAATCCGTTTTATATTCTGCCAAGTCCGTCTAATCTTCCAAAGTATATATATATATATTATAAATATAAATATATTTACCGTTTCCAACAGAGTCGCACAATATTTATGTAACGTTTCAAATAGTTTTTATTACTTATGGGCGTGATATACTCCCTTGAATCGTATTGATTATCTACTCTAATGCGAACAATTGTATAAATAATTATGCATTGGCAGTCCATGTTTATACCAGCAGCAGCAGCAATATTTTTGCATTTGCATTTATATTCATTTTCAAATTTATATATGAACTTGACAATGAATTACTAATTGAAAGGTCTTATTTAGTATATTAAATACAAACACATTTCATAAAAACTTAATCGCCTCGCAATGCAAAACTTTATGTATATAAATTTTAAAAAGCATATGACATGCGAAACAACCGCAGAGAACGTTTGATAATGAAATTTGTATATGCGAGAAATGTTCTTGAATCTATTTTTTATACCCTGCATGGAAAGACACGCGTGGGCACGATCAAGTAGTCGCGACTTCATGGCCAAATGACATTTTATTTATAAAAAACAGATTGTGCGTGACATAAACTGATTTTAGGTCATGTCAAGAAGAAATTAAATATTTTTTTATTATTTAAACTATTTAATTTGCATTAAACAATTGCAGTTTAGTTTAAAAATTATTTTTGCCAAGAGCTAACACTTACATAACTATATAGATCTATTTCTATTTTAAGCTATATAGATTTATTGATCTGTTTCTATTTTAAACTATATAGATTGAAATGCCTAAGCATCCTTAGTTTTTCATATAAAATACGAAAACCTGACTACAGGGCATCTTCGTGTCTAAATGCATACCCTTTATTTTTGAATATATAGGAAAAGTTTCGAAAATTTTGCTGGCCGACAGGAACTTATTAGACATATTTATACTCTTAAGTAATGCAGATATATTTTCCAAGTCCAAATATTCAAATAATTGATGTAAGCATGAAAAGTTTTCTGCTCAAGTACAGAATGAATCAGAATTCTATAAACAAAACAAAAAAACTCCATATTTGTTTTAAGTATGTATATAGTTATTTTTAGAATGCCAACAAAATATACGAGGGCTGCCCCATCAATACATTATTATAGCGTAGGCAAAATCAAATGTGCTTTAGTTGATTGAAATTTATTTCATTTTTCTTGCATTTTGGCACACGCCCAATAGGCGTGAAGTCAATCATTAATGTAGGTCACAATGTGACTTTTTCTTTTGACTATATGAAAGATTTAGTATGCTCGATTTGGCAGTAAAGATCTAGGCTACGCTAGGCTATGCAACCTGGACAATTCTCAATGTTAAATCCCTAGCCATAAAATGTTATGCACTTACCACAAGGTTGTCCCTGTACCTCAGTAATATATTAAACATTGTAATATTTTGTTAACTAATCTATAACTTAAGCATTACTGATAAAGACATTACATATATTATATTCACTTGCTTCATTGAGTAATTTTCTGTATCTATCATAGCACCCTATTGCATATTGACGTCATAGTTGGAAATAGTTCGTACTGCCCTCGTACATAGCTCTCAACAGCCACACACACACATAGGCAATAAGGGAATAATATTTTGCACAGCACGCATAAAATATATCGCTCGAACAATATTTATCGATCTATTTAGCCTACATTTTGAACATTCGAATTCCTCTTTCTAGTACTGCATAAAACGATCAAGGAAAAATCAATATAGGAAAAGATTAATATTATTCCCTTGTAATTAAACCAGATTATCTTCAAAAATTAGAAAAATGAAACATATGTAATAAAACATTTGCAATCGAACCATTGGTAATCCTTATTAGAAAGATTAGAAAACATTGATTAATGTATAGATATTCACAACGACAACATGTTAGTTAATAACTTCAGAGCGAATTTCTTACTTATCAGAAAATATTATCAGAAAGTAAATTAATAACCAATTTACTAACCTGTCAAATATTCTGGCCTCTTTTAGTACATTTCCTAAATTAATATACGCGTCTAAGAAGTTTGGATCAAGGGTGACAGCTTTCTCGAAATGGTGAATGGCCAGCCAAATCTCGCCTTGGGCATTGAAAACGCAGCCCAAGTTGCTCCATGCCACAGCGAAACCTGGACATGTTTCAATCGCTTTCAAATAACAGGCCTGTGATGATGTCAAACAAATAATTAAGATTTGTATATTTGGCTAAATATAAAGCTAATATTACCTTAGCTTCCTCCAATCGACCAAGAGCTTTCAATAGATTTCCCAAGTCGCTGCGCACGCAGTATAAATCCTACATGAATATTGTTTATAATTATTTATAGTTGTGAATAAATGGCAAATGAAATTACGGGATTGTATTGCAAGGCTGTTATATAGGCCTGAACGGCTGACTCCATATCCCGCGCAGCCACCAACGCAGCAGCCAAGTTTATATATCCATCTATAAAGTCGGGCTTTAAGCGTACAGCTCGGCGATAATTGTCTAATGCTTCTTGCAGCTGTCCTCGTTCTTTGTAAACATTTCCCAAATTACTGCAAGTATAATTGGAATTTAAGTAACAAAATAATACAAAACAATTGTATTATCGAATTGTGGCTCACCTGTACGCCTCGGCCAGCACTGGATTTTGCTTTATAGCCAATGTGGAGAACTGCGCGGATTTATCAAGCCTTCGGCACTGGAAATGAATTGAAGACAGCAACAACAAGACGCCAGTGTTAGTGCTATCTTGTCGCCATAGCTGCATGCAATGCCTTTCTGCGTTTTCATAATCGACAGCTTGGTACTCCCGATGCGCCAACTCCAATAAACCTTAAATAAAAATCATTATAATCAGTATTAGAAGTATTGCAATGGATTAGAATGCATATATTGATTAAATGCCCACTTGTACAAGTTGACTAATGACTAATTAATAAAACTATTTTATCAGACTAAGTGCACCTTTAAACCATTCTGCAAAAGCTTCTGCTTCAAGCTTTCTGAGTTTATACAAAAACAGATATAGATATCAACACACTTGAAGTTTATTCTACATTTTATGCTTCAAGTGCGTTACTGTTGTTTATCCAGTTGCTAACAGGTTATATAAAATTCGATTACACTTAAAATTGTTAATAATTTCAATAATTTTGTATACAGTTTTTCACTTAGATTTCACAATGGTTTTATTAGTTTCTGTGTGGATGCATAAGCTTCTTCTCTTATTTTCATATATGCCTTCATAAAATAGATAATATGAGCTTACTGTGCTGCATTACTTCTTCAACGTCTGTAAGTTATAATATCCTGTTTAATAAAATTTCCTATATACGCACGCTCATACATTCAGCGTTTGTAGCATTTACTGTTAGACTTCTCCGTTAGTTATGCATTCTAATGGACGTTTTCACAGTTGAGAAGTTTTTGATGATTTGCCAAAAATTATGTTTGCATAAATCTGTTAAAGGCAATTTATCAAATGTAAAGCTTATATAAAAATCAATAGATATAATTTCTCTAAAGTTATTGTAAAAACAAAAGCATTAATATCATGATAGCTTTTTGATACATAAAATGTGTATATATGAATCAAAATTTAATGATTATATAGATATATGTATATATTATAAAACGATTGCTTTCTATACAAAAGCCGACATGCCCTATATCAATTTGACAGTTAAAGACTTATACAAAGTTTATCACGTTTACAAAGCATACCTATTTCACACACTAATACACCTACACATCGCACACATTCTGTGTACATACATATACACATCTCTAAAATTTTCCATTACATATTTAACTGTCTGCTTAAAATACGTATAAGATGGGTGCATGCAGGTACATAAAAGTTACCTGACATGTTTTTTGGTAAAATTAAAACATTTGTAATTATTCTTACCGACAGTAGATAGAGATTGGTGTTCAATAGATTTTCCAACTACATTGTTGTTAGGTAAATGATTTTGCTGCTGCAGTAGGGAATGTGTTGAAGTATGCTGCTGCGTTTGTCCCTGTCCTTGAGAGTTCATTATTTACGGATGGTTCCTCATATATGTGAGTATATATGTATTTTAGTTTTCAATTATGTTTAAAATCAATAGTAAAACCACAGTAAATATCAAATGTCACTGCAAATACTCGATCTAAAGAAACATCAAAAAATCACTGTGAGTACTGGGTAATAATTTATACACATCTATTTTATATCAATAAACACCTCTCAATTGGCTATAAATCTGTAACACAACAAATTTTCGAGCCACCAGCTGCTACAAAAGTCAACCATACATTTGTTAAGTATGGGTTATTTAATAGAGATGATCGATATTTGCACAAATTTTTTTTTTCCCCTATTTATAATTTCAAGAGCCAAGTACTAATCGTGACTACAACAAATTTTTAAAGTCACGAGTCTTTGTAACGAGTGGTTTCCACTTTGGTTTGATTCAATAATTAGTGAGTATTTTTCAAATTGATGCAGCTAATATTTGTAAAAACAAATATTAAAGAGGAAAATCGCAACAACAAAAAAAAATAATAATAATTCTAATGTAAGCAATATAAATATATAAATAATTATATAACAAATATTACTTGTGTTATAAATTACTTTTTATGATGTAGCTTTACATCTGCATCCACTTTTGCATTCACATCCGCATTCACATTCGATACATGAATTTTATATTTTATTGAATGAATTTATCAGTTTCTAAACGAATGCGGTTTACTAAAATATTATTGTGTACTACATTTAAAACTACTTAATTTAATTATTAAATTGTACTAGCTATTATTATTATTTTTTGTACTTAAACTTTGGTTCCTTAGCAATATTATTTTCTGCTGTAGCAATATCTCCTGATTGTGTATGCCAGCTGTGTTCCATACGATTGTATCCCAAAAGGTACTGCTATCAATGTTAATTGAAAACCTAACCCTTTCCTATTTACAATGAATATTTTTACAGCATAGGCTCATTATTCAGAAAATTATGCTCCGTTGTCCCATATGCCATTGCCCTTAAGCAGAGTATTTGTGGTTTGGCATATCCATCCACGCTCACATTCGAATGCCAGCAAACCCCGATGTAATGTAAGACTCGACCGGCTCATACTCAGAATTGATCTCTATATGCAAATAATCAATATATTTATAAATATAAATTATTGTATAATCTCAGAAATGTGATAGCCACGAAATTTATCTACATATCCAAGTAAAACTAAATATTTTGTAAAAATTTATTTTTAACGTTTTATCTTGCTGATGGTAAAACATTAGTTTTATTTATTATTTTCAATGGAATACATATTTATTCCGCTGGGACTTCCATGGTACCATTGTTAATTTCGTCAATAACATCATGGGGATGTTTTCCATCAACAGTGCATCCAACACTTTGGGCTGTGCCAAGAACTTCCTTGCAGGTGCCTTTCAGTTCACGAGCCATTGACCTTGGTCGCATAGTGCGTGCGATCGCCAAAATGTCATCGAAGGAAATGTTTCCACTGTGCTTAACTGCAAGAGAAAATCAAATTATTAGTATCTGGTGAGCATTTTCACAAGACTCAAAATAGCGATTATAATTTACAATCTCTATAAAATTTTTTTTAATATCTACGTCTATTCTTTAATCATCTACACTTTGTTCACATTGGTTTATTCGATGATACTCTTTTCATATCAGGCGTAACTGACCGGCATTTTTAGCTCGGCTATTCAATATTTAGCTTTTTATTAAAACAGTACTTTGCTTTACGAAATCGTTGATTAATCATTTGTTTCACCTTTTTTCACTAAAGTTACAATTACAATTGTTACTCCACTCGAATCACATACATTATTTAACCGGTCTGATAAGACTAACATGTTGAATGTTCTAATCAGAATTGTTTCTCATTAAACATACCTATGTAATTGGTATATTTCTCTGCACTTTATGTTCCTTTATTTGTTACACAATAAAAAATTAATAAAAAAAATGCCTACTTCAAAACAAAAACATTAAAAACTTACTGTTCTTCTGCTTCTTTCTGTCACGTGGAGGTTCCTTCAATGCCTTGATGATCAATGAGGCTGCGGATGGAACCACTGATATCGTAGCCTGCCTATTTTGAATGGTAAGGCATACCGTGATCTTGAGTCCCTTCCAGTCAGAAGTGGCCTTTGCAATATCGTCACCTACTTTTTTAGGAGACTATAACAAGCATTAGCTTAGAAAACATACTAAGTATATTGTCTACTCACCAATCCCAGAGGACCGATTTTAGGAGCCAACGATGAGGTAGCACCAACTTCGCCACCAACACAACGAAGGTACACTAGAACAATACAAATTATCATATAAACATATACTCGGATGAATGATTTAATTTATATTTATATGGAGCATAACGTACCCAACTTGACTTCCGTGGGATCAAACTTAGGAGGCATCTTTATGTATGAATGGTTTCAGCTGTTAAGAGTAGAGGATTATCAAAATATTACCCGATTTTTATTCATGATAATTTTTAACGTACCGTCACCAAAAGCGCCGTAAAGGGAAAGAGTCCGATAGTGCCATAGAGATGGGATACTTAGTTTCCGGTTATATCAACTATCGAATGAGTAATTTGGTAACAAAGGAATAGAACACAAAATTGTACGTTGGGTTATCATGATAATAATAATAATTTTATAACCAACTTTTATATAAACTCATGTTTTATATCCTTTAAGAGAGCAATTTCCATCATATCAACTAACAACTGATCATAAGTCAGTAAAGCATATAATATGATACTAGGTGTCTGGAAATAATATATTAAATAATAATCAATAAAATTATTTTAAACGTGATGTAATATTTAATGCTTCTTTACAACGCACTGAAGTAATGATTCATTTATTGTTGTAAAGCCTGAAAATAAATCTTCAACTACATTATTATGGATTAATGTATATTTCTCTTATTGTTCCGTTCTCCTAAAGATGGTACTGTGAAATGAAAACAAGCCTAATCGATATACATCGGGTTTCTCTATTTTGCCAATCGATATATATTGCTTTGAATTGTCTTACATCCCTAATCTAAACCTTCTTTCCGGTGTAGCCGTCGTCGACGGAGGTTAAAATGGTACGTAAATAAAATCTTCAACAATAAGTGCAATCATATAATAACTTATCAAATTTAAATATTGCTTACTAAATGAAAACAATTTCTTTAATAGGCCGCACATAAATCGTTCCGCATCAAGCAGAAGCTTGCTAAAAAACTGAAGCAGAACCGCTCTGTACCACAATGGGTTCGCTTGCGTACTGGAAATACAATTCGGTAAGTCTTGGGCGTCTGTCTATAAGTTCAAATCGGTGTAGTTTTCTAATAGGTTAAACACTATAGACATATTAAAATAATAAACTTGAAATTATGTAAAAACAAGATTATTGTCGCTGTGATAATCAGAGTAAATTGTAAATCAGCTGTGTGCAAACCTTCGTATTAGAATTCTAATTCTGCCAAACAAACATACTTGTGAGTGCCCTTTCTGTGGATACATTCAGGCCTTTCAGAATGTATCCACAGAAACTCTCCCACCCTATGAAAAGAGATTGATACCGGCATACAAATATATATGTATATATTATTTCGACAAAACAAACCTTAGTGAAACAAAAAACAAAAACAATTAAACCGAAGACGTTTGGTTCTTTAAATCAAGTGTGATTAAATATCTAGAATACTTCTAGTTTTAGTTGCTTGAGCAGCGACAACTTATTTATTATTCAGTTCTCGTTTATGTATACAAATATCTAATTTGGTTATCAATATTAACGAAACTTTTCTCTTTATTTTCAGGTACAATGCCAAGCGTCGTCACTGGAGGCGTACTAAGTTGAAGCTGTAAACTTTTGCAAATACCGTATTTTGCAGTTTTGTAGTTTGTATCAAATAAATTAATTTTTGAAATACAAACTAAATTTAAGATATATTTATTTCGGGATATGGATTTCAAAATGGTCTTTTAAAAAGATTTTTTCTAAAGTGCTGAATATAAATAAATGTATTTAAAGTATGCTAAAATCGCACGATATTAATTATCGGGGAGTATTGTCGAAAGCTTGTCACAGGTAATGCTCCGTGACTGCGGGTGCTTAATCTGAAGATGCGGGGAATGCGTGTATTGGATACAGCAACAGCAATTATTGGGGCTTAGTTTTATAAATACTATGGAAAGCATCAATACTGGGTGCAGAAACTATGAAATATTTGCATGGAAATAAACGATTTAAAATAAATGTCTAATTGACATTAAACAGTATTTAATTTATGTATGTAATCCTCACTTTAGTTCTGTGTACCAACATCCGTGCTGTGGAACATTGGAATATTTCTCATACAGCTTATTTTGTACTTGGGAACTGCAGAAGCTACAAAGATTTGTGAAGTTTAAAGGAAAATTTGGTCGTAAATCTAGATTAACAAGATAACATTTTGTTAAAAGGAAAAAGTAAAATATTTAGAAAAAATTGCATTCATAATAAAATCAAAAATTTACAAATATAATTATGCTTAATACCTTTATAATAAATTTTGTTTAAATCTGGATGAGATAAAAAAAATAACACATTAACTTGTTTCATCGTTCCGATGCATAAATGCATCAATTTTCTTAATGCTGTCTCTGCATCATATTGCAACTCAGAAAGTGGAAAACAATGTTATCGAACTTTGACGTCCCATAGTTCGATATTTACGATAGATAATAATGCATCCAGCTTTACTATTAACGGCTAAATCACAGTCATAGAGTAGATATTTTGCTAGTATAGCTTTAATAGTTTGCCATTAATTCCATTCATATTCATTCATTATATATAAAGGCAATATATAATAATGAGTAAAGTCAAATGTGTATCTTACAAAAAAGTATCTTTGGTAACTGAGTAACTGGTTAAATATTTTAAAAAGTACTAAAAAGTGACACGTCTCAGATTCATCAAATATTGCACATCTCTAGTCTGAGTATTGTTCGTTTTCTCCGAATGCCAATGGCCGAAGTTAATAATATTCACGAAAACTATGCTTTTCAGTCAAGAATATAATAAATGATAAAAAAAGATTGTTAATGCATGTAAAATTAAAACGTTTAGTGTATGTTTGATCAACGCATTACATTTCGCACAATGTCGAACCACATGAATCATACATCTTTGTGAACGTTTTATAATATAATTTTAATTTTGGAACATAAATCGGTGTATATCATAAACAAGTGCATTAAACATGCGGGAATTTAAAGTGGTTGTGCTTGGTTCCGGGGGCGTTGGTAAATCGGCCCTAACTGTTCAATTTGTCTCGGGGTGTTTTATTGAAAAGTATGATCCCACCATCGAGGACTTTTATCGAAAGGAAATAGAGGTTTGTCATACATATGTATTTTCTGTCAGCACAATTTATATGCTTTTGTATGTATAAATGTCTATATAGGTACTTGTGCATGTAAAAATACACATCTATGCTATATGCATATGTATATATTGATATATATATATATACATATATGTACATATCAATATATATATGTACACACAGACGTATGTATGTATGTGCATGCATGCGTATGTGTGTATAAATATATACATGAGCAAATAAAAATACTTATAAATCGAATTAGTATGAACTGTTCTATGCATTATTGTTAAATTATTGGTCTTTACCATTAATGATAGTTTAATTTAGTATTCCGCTAAGTAAATTATGTATTTACCGTTTGTCTGTAGCTTCCATGTTTTATGACTCATTAATAGTAAAGACATGAACGATACAAAATTTTTTTCTAAGTGCAACTGTATATAAACAGTCTGTAAAGTAAACGAGTTCAGTAATTTAAAAAGCCGTTTACATAAACAATATAGTAGTTTTATTGTTTAAACGGATGTGTTCAATAATTTGACATTGACTGTAACAGGAAAAAGGAAGCTATTGAACTTGTAGAGTAAATGCTTATAGATCTAATTCAATTATTATATTAAAATGTAAAATAAAAATGAAATCATATTTGTGTATAAATTCAGCGTTGATTGTGGATTATTTTCCAAGAATTACTTAGCCAAATACACAATATATTTTTGTATACCCAGTACTACTTAAAAAGGGAATAAAAAGGTACAATAGTTTATAAAAATTTATGAAACAGGCAGAATGAGGATTGGTAGAGAATATTAAATATTGAATATATATATTTCACATAAAATAATATTTGTGTGCTCTGCGCAGGGTATCTCCTAGTCAAACACTTTCGAGTGGTGATTTTTTGTTGGGTTTAGTGAATTACATTTTATGCATGTGATATCAACATATGTGTTTATTTATGTATATAACTAACCATTAGTTTGTCTTGACTCACTGATTACTTAAGCACACTTAAGAATTTTTTTCTATTAAACAAACTTAAAATTGATAGAAAATGTTGATATGAAAGTCATTTAACTGAATCTGTCTGATATAATGCTGTTTTGCCTGCGAACACAGTTGTCTAGAAAGCTCAATGGACTTTGGCTTTGTTCAGAGTTTATTAACCCTGAATCACCGAAGTTTAGAAGGACACGTTGTTATATATATATTTATATGTATGTAGCATTACTTTAAAGGGTTTTAAACTGTGCTGAGCCATGCTCATCTGTGTGGAAGCAAAATCTCAACAAATAGACTTAAAATTTATTTTTATGCCAGCTTATCAAATTTTGTTTATCTTATCCCACTATCTTAACATATTGAAAAGTATTATGGCTAAAGGCACACAATCTGCAATGTATGCAGAGATTATGAATATTTGTTTTGTTGGATAACGTCTCAAATTGAGATGAAATTTAATGAGGAATTTTGCATAATGAGGTGGAAGCGAAAGCAAACGCGGGATTAAGGATTTACGTTCTTTCGAGTGTGCGGGGGTTTTTATTTGTGTCAAGTAGTCTGGGACGCAGAGTTTAGAGTATCAGTTAGTCGGATGAGAGAAATTATATAATAATATTTCTGGATATATGTATTTTTGTTCAGTTAGTTCGAGGTCATCTATTAGTTGATTATTTCTAATCAGCAATGACAAGGTTTGAACACACATAAAATAAGCAGCATATCTGAAGTTATTGAAAACACTCTTGGCTCTATTATCTGCAGACTGTCGATTCGTCATCTTGCCTTGAGACTCATCCTATCAGTTGTGATAGACCGCTGAGTCTATAAACAAATATTTAAGTTTATCAATCAGAATTCATTAGATGACATAAAATAATTGGAAAGACCAACACTAATTTTATATTCTTATTTACAGGTTGACAGTTCTCCTTGTGTTTTGGAAATATTGGATACAGCCGGAACTGAACAATTTGCTTCTATGAGAGATCTCTACATAAAAAACGGGCATGGCTTTATTGTGATGTATTCGCTGACAAACCATCAAACATTTCAGGTAAGTGAAAATACGCAAATTAATTTTAATTTGACATTTTCTTAAACATCGTAAATATAATGCTGCCAACGTCAAAAGCAACTAAAACTTTTTCTTTTCTTTAACAGGATATTTCAAGTATGAAAAATGTGATTACTCGAGTTAAAGGAAGCCAACCAGCACC